TTTAACATTTACGTACATTACATTATTGCATAATAATGATGATTTAACGCAATGGGCCTCCGGTAACCTAACTCACACGGCGAAACACAACGCTATGGTTGTCTCACTTGATCACTTCATTAGTCGTGGTGGCCCGGAGGTTAAGGAACCCGCTTTTCATGCATGAGAGTACGGGTCCGAAACCTGGCAAGTACCAATTGACTTTTTCCGAGTTATATGTACTTGACACCACTGACATACGGTGAAGGTAAACATCGTGAGGAAACCTTTTTTTTTTTTTTTTTTTTTTGTCAGGGGATAATCATCCAATGACTTCTCCCGCCCAGGGTAAGGCGAGAGAGAGTGTCAGACTCTTACTGACTAAAAACCCCCCCGTTCCTTCTCCTGCTGTGGGCCGAGGTCGCGGTGCCTCATTGCGCTTACCCCGCAGCCCCGGCTAAACATCAGCCCTTTAGGGCCCCGACTGTGGTGGTCTATTGGCTCTTTGAGGCGCGCGCGGAACGCTACGCGCCGTACGCTCGGGTCCGGTTCTGGTCGGGCGGCGAGCTACCCTTACTCGCCATCCGCAGACCGGCGCTTACGGTGGCCGGAGATCATCTCTCGATCCCCGACGTCCGGAATGTCGCCTTCTGCGGCGGCTGGGGCGCGAGGAGGATAGTTCCCTCACGCGCTCCGCTTCCTCCTTTGCGAGCACAACTGCTTCGCAGAAGGAGGAGATAGCTTCCCAGTTCCTCTCACGCTGCACCATGGCCTCGATTAAGGCCGGGCGCGAGAGGTCGCCGCCGCCGATCACTTCCCTGAGAACACGGCGGTGCTCAGCCCAAGCAGGGCACTCCGCCACCGTATGCTCCACCGTGTCCTCCAGGTGATCCGCACAATGACGACACTCGGGCGTTTCCTCCCGCTGGATCCGAAACAGGAACCTACCAAAGCTGCCGTGCCCGGTAAGCACCTGCGTCAGGCGGAAGGTGAGGACGCCGTGGCGTCTCTCAAGCCACTCCTCAAAGAGGGGTCTTACCGCTGCTATAGTAGCGTGCCCGGCCCTCGGTTGATCGTGAGGAAACCTGGACTTATTATTTCTAATTATAAGTTTGAAATCGCCAACCCGCATTGAGCAAGCGTGGTGATTAATGCTTAAACCTTCTCCGTGTGAGAAGAGGCCTTTGCTGAGCAGTGGGGACTTATAGGCTGATGATGATTATGATGATGATGATTATGGTTGTCTCAGGCCGGTTTTCTGTGAGGCCGTGGTATCAATCCGGTCAAGCCGGTCAATCACATCAAAATTAAATATAAATAAATGTGTAATGTAGGTTATTTTTTTAACATTGACCTTGAATGGTAATGACCATGATAATTTGAAACATTTGACGCTATTGCTGTTACTGATTGCGACAAATAATCTTAATAGTTATTGCAAAATACGTGAATCACACGCGAATCGTATGACTAAGTCGTAGGTATTTGGTTGTCAATTAAAGTAGATTATTTCAATGTGTTATGTATGTATGACCAAAATATTTAGTCTCCTCAATATATTTTGAATGTGGTTTTTGTAGTTAATGTTTTTGTGTTATAGCTTGCAGAAACTTAATTATTAAGTTAGGTACTTAAGTAACAATTTTTGGTTAAAAGCTATTTCGTGTAGAAATAAAAAGAATATAATAAGTAAGTGTATTTGGATATTGATCATTATCACCATCATCATCACTCATGATCATCATGGAAATAATATTACACTTTAGACGTAGGTACTTTTCCTTGAAAAGTTTTGCTAAAATCTCCACGCTTAATTGGCAAGTTGGAGATCGAAGTTTTGAAATAATAACTACTTATTAAGCTCACTTAAAGCCTATACATTATTTATACGTTTCCGTTTTATGATTGTAATGAATACGTCCAAAACTAATAAAAAAGATTTAATTCACTCCGGAGATACATACATAATAGATTTTAATTGTTTGTTCTTATTTTAGCAAATATATGTGCCTAAGTCGCATCTGAAATTTATCCGACGAAAAAAGAGCACTGGCTATGCAAAATCACACTCTTTTTAATAGATTTTAAACTGTAAGGCAATATGGTGAGGTTTTAAAATCAATAATACTCTGACGATATTTTATTTGACTGGCAAATCGGACCCACTCTATCTCTCTCTCTCAATCGGACATCCCTTTCTAAAGTTGCATTTGTAGTACAATAGAGCAGGACAACAGTATCAAACTTAAAAAAAGCGACTACTTAATTTATGTTGATCATTCATCTCGACGCCATTACTGACCATACCTACTATCAATAGAAGCCACAGAGTAAACATTTACCTGTCAAACTGACAGCTCTGACTTATTATACTGCCAAATGTTTTTATGGGTTTTTTTTTCTGTACGGTTAACGGAAAAGGTCCGAAATTATAATCGACGCTGTGATAGTCTTTATTCAGTTGAATTAGAGTTTGATTTCGTGTTTTTATTATGAGATTAATTTGTATACCTACTTACCGTTTGTTGGCTAAGTCGTATCTTGTTTCTTATATATTTGATCTTACTTAATTACTAATCAATTAAGTTAATTGTTTATCTGACATTAAAGTGTTATTGGACTTGGAACTAAGGAAAGTACGAGTAAGATTTTTCTTCAAGGTTACACATATAAAAAACATACTAAAAAAGTCGCACAACAAAGTCGCATTCGCAACACCAAGTTTTTTGCTGAACCTGATTATCAAATCCAAAACCATAATAACAGAACGTCTTTATGACAAGGCAAATTTAAGAAAAAATTATGTAGGTGGAGCCACTATGCATAGGTAGGTACATAAATAGCGGAACACAATGACGTTGACACAAGATGTTTAGTCGGCCGCCATTATGGTATTGACATTGACCCACTTGTAAATCAATTTTGGATTTTGGTTTGAATGACGTCTTTTGTGGTCTCCATGTCCTTTATTATCATAAAATACTTATTGCAATGTTTTTACATTTCTAAAAGTTATAATGTAGTGCTGGCCAGCGCTAGGGTCGCACAGGGCGCCAAAATGAAACGGAACCTGAGGGCAAAATGGAGCCCGATAAGCTTTTAATTTAAAAGGGTGTCTTTTTCTTTCTCACATCACATAACATTATTACTGGTAACTATATACACGAATTATTTAACTCCATAATTACTATAGGCATAAGTCGGATCCAACTTGAGAAATCATCAAACAAAAATTGTTTGGAGAGTGTAATAATTTGTTATGGTAGATAAGATTGCATAGACATACATTTCACAGACTTATAAACAATTTCTCCAAATCTGTATTATATACATCTTGGGCGTATTTTGAATAAATTATATTTAGATTTGTGCCTTCGAAAACGGGACCAACAAAAGAGAAATTACAGCTCGAACACATCGTAAATTAAAAAGATATCAATTTAAAAGAAGTCTGACCACTAAAGGAGGTCGGAATAGGTTAAGTCTAGTCTTTCGTCGACAAGAATATTTTGCTGTAGGTAGTACTTTGAATCTCAACTTAGCGCTTTATAAAAAGATGGAACACAATTATGATATTGACCATGCAAAGAACTACTTACAAACAACCGAACCTGTCTATTAAAATCTAATTTTCCTCATAAATTGACCTACTTTTATGAAAAGCGCCTCTTTCTGTGGTCAAATTATGGACAAAAAAAAACTAAATTGAGCTTACCGTTACGTTTTGAGATTGATCGCAAGCTCTTGCTGTACGCCAAGATAATGAAGATAGATATATTATATATAGCTTTGATTTACTATTTAATCATTTGAACATATTTCCGTAGGGATCATGCATATTTTGGACATAAACAATCTAGTTAGATTGTAATGTCGAAGTCGCTGGTCGATCGCGTTGACTAATATATTGCAATTACCTATAAATGCTTCTAGAAGAATTGTTATGAGGTTGAGATAGACTTGAATAAGAAGAGTAGAGATTTCATATTAACGCTAGTATGGTAGCTTACAATGGTTTTTGTTATGGTATAAGTCGGCAAACGAGCAGACGGATTACCTGATGGTAAGCAATCGGTGCCGCCCATGGACACCCGCAATACCAATGGAGTTACGAGTGCGTTGCCGGTCTTTTGAGGAAAGGGGTTGTGGATATAAGGATCGGGAAGGGATAGGGGAAGGGGCGGGATTGGGCCTCCAGTAACCTCACTCACACGGCGAAACACAAAGTTGTGGTTGTTTCACGCCGGCATTCTGTGAGGCCGTGGTATCACTCCGGTCGAGCCGACCCATTCGTGCTGAAGCTTGGCTCTCCCACATATGTAATTAAGTTGTCCGATATGTTCAGTAGCATAAGTCCAATAAATAGAGATGAATTAAAAAAGTAATTAAAAGTTGAAGGTTTAATCCGACCAGGCCAAAGAGGGATCTGGCCATGAGACTATAACTCTAAGAACACATTACTCTGATAAAAAAATGGAATTAAAATTTCTAGACTGCGATCTTTATAGCTTCTTCCTTACAGTGTATCAAAGCCTGAACGTGGAATTTGACATATTACCTATATTATTTAACTGTACTGTAGGTTTATGCGTCTTTAATATTATCTGCGTTTTTTTTAACATGGATGTGTGAAATGACTCATGACTAAAACATTATTTGTGTCTCAGTTGTTTTATATGTTGACGATTTTAATTAACACCTTTCATATTTATAGTTTTTTAATTTTATACATAGGTACTGCAGAAACTAGGCGTAATAATTTTGTTTTCAATCGATAAGGCTGTTGTATGTTTTTGTGCCCTTCATGCTTCCAAAACATCAGTTCTGGTCTTAATAAGGTTTTGACAAAATGAGTGGCTTAATATTAATTTGGTTCTAAAAATAGGCGGTTTAGCAACAATGACCCTCACATTTAGAGAAAATTAGGTAATTACCTGACTCATAAAACCGGAGACGACAAATTTAGCACTTGGAGCCGTCATGTGGTGAGAATTTTATTGATTTGTGCTTTTATTTTCTAGGGCACTGAAGCCGTTGATATGTTTCATCGGGAAAATGTCTTACTTGGCGGGAGGGATGGCGATCACAATAAGAGGGAAGCAGGCTAGTCGCAAAGAAGCGCCTATCCTGGTCGTAGCCCCGCACTCCTCATTCTTAGACAGCTGTATCGTATATGCGACCAAAATGTCTTCAGTGATCGTGAGGAAAGAGAGCATGGACAACTACGTTGGAAGTAGGTGGTCTTTGGTCCAGTATTGGGTGGTGGAGGTCATACATTTAGCGCTTGCTTTGGAAACTTATTATAATAAGTGGGTTTGGTACGACGTTGACTTTAGTATTATGTACCTAACTTTCAAGTTTGTTGTTCGAAGGCTTGCAGGGTTTTTCTTTTATCATGGTTCAATTGTTTCGGTGGTGGGTGTCACTATACTTTAATAAGATTAATTAACAATACATCAGTAGTATTTAGTGTTTTGTTTCCAGTTATATTGTTAGTTTATTTAAAGTCTTACACGTAAGGTTGGCCTTAAGTTTAGTGTTACTTTGCATGAGTGCATGTTATACTAATTCCTTTTTGGATGGTTCCAATGAGTTCCTATAAAATTTCAAAAATACGTTATTGTGCTGAATGTTAGCAAATTATTTCCTTACCTGTGGGCGATAACGACATTTGGTTTTTCATTAGTTTCTTTACATGATTCTAATGCACACAATGGCTGCAAAGGTGGAAGATTACTTGTAGACACATTAGCATAGATATGTTCTATGACGACAATGAAATCTGCCGTCTTTGCTACTATCAGTGTTATCTTATCTTGAAACACATCAAGGTATCTTCACTCTATACAATAAATTAATCACTGTAATCTATTGTTATTAATTTAATCATGAATATTAATGAACCATGCTTCGGCACGAATAGGTCGGCTCGACCGGAGTGATACCATGGCCTCACAGAAAACCGGCGTAAAACAACCACAGCGTTGTGTTTCGCCGTGTGAGTGAGGTTACCGGAGGCCTAATCTTGGCCCTCCCCCAATCCCTCCTCAATCCCTAAATCTTCAAATCCCTAACCTTAGTTGGCAACGCACTCGTAACTCCTTCGTTACGGGTGTCCATGGGCGGCGCTGATTGCTTACCATCAGGTAATCCGTCTGCCCGTTGACCGACCTATTACATAAAAATATAAATTAAAGAACTCCCTTGATTGGTCGCGTGCTCTCTAATTCTCTATAGGCTGAGTAGGGAATCTTGCATCAGATTTTTGGTCGCTCAATATCATGGAAATAGATCCAAAGAATTCTAGAATAATCTGTATTGTACAATAAAAGTGGACAGATCACCTGATTAATAACCATCAACCAACCATACAAAACCCGACCGGTGTTGAAGGTGCAAGACCATAAATGTACCGCGGCTTTACTCGTACTAGGAGAAGCAACGGCGTGATAATTTAGTCAGCGAGGGTCTGACACTGCCTTTTGCTCTACCCAGGGCTGGAAGAGTCATTATTTTCCTTCTAAAAAAAAAAACTATGGTGTGAGAAGTCATGACACCAGTTTACCCACACCAAAAAACTACCTACATTAGTATATGACAACGACTTTATAAAGAACTAGCTATTCTCGCACGGTTTCACCCGCTGCTCACGTCCATTTGATCGAAGCGTGATGTTTTATAGCCTATAGCACTCAAGAACATTGTAGCTATCTATCAGTGAAAGAATTTTGGCAATCCGACCAGCCAAACTTACAAATACCTCTTTATAATATTCGTATAGAAAAATAAGATGCCAGCAGTAAACTATTACATAATGAAACATGTACTTAGGGAAGAAAAGGTCAGTAAACTTCTATAATGGGAGTTTATTAACTGAGTGACGTAACTGACGGTAGGTAGTTACTTTCACACACGGTTACATTATGTTGACTCGACAGAATTGTGCCTCCAACCACATTGACGCAGTGATTTCATAAATATCTAATGAAATGAACGATTAACATTTTTCTTGAGAGAATATACTGTTATATGTATTTAATTATAATTAATGTTTTATTGCTATTACGCCTTTAGCAAAGAGGTTTCGATTCTTAATCTCTGTCACTTTGCTTTTTTCTTTATACAGACGGGATAGACATAGAACCTACTTAAAGTAAGAGTAAAAATAAGTAATCTATTGTTCTGTTTTTAGCCTGTTATAAATAGGGGAGTAGCTCTAATAACAAAAATCAAAAAGCATCATACATCATTTTTATGTAACCCTTATGGCTACAAACGCGACGAAAACTTAAAAAGACAGTTACTTCTCCAGTTTTCCCAACATTTCAATTCACTGCTTTGCTCCTATTATTTGTAGCGTGATGAAAAGTATCCTAAAACCTGCCCAGGAGTATAAAGAATAATTGTACCAAGTTATGTTAAAATCCGTCGAGTAGTTTTTGTTTGTAAAAGGAACATACAGACAGACAGACAAACATTTTACTGATTGCATTTTTGGCATCAGTATCGATCACTTATCACCCCCTGGTAGTTATTTTGAAAATATATTTAATGTACAGAATTTACCTCTCTACAGATTTATTATAAGTTTAGTTAATTAGTTAAAAAAACTTAAATTTAGTGTATCTATCGATCGATGAATAAAAGTATAGTTATTTTTTCAATATTTTATAGTATCGAAACGTCGGAATTAATTTATTTTTGACCTAGAAAACTACCCAATTTCATTCAAAATCAATTGAACCGATTGAAATCGTCCAAACCTAATTCCGACTATTGGCAACTTCCGTATTCGATGAAAAATATATTAAAAATGAAGTCGTGTGTTTTGTCATAATATGTTGTATTTATAAAATTACGTGAAGCATGCAACTGTGAGGCTTCGTGACGCCTTTTACCTAGGTATAGGCATTAGCTAATATAAGTCTACAACTCAAGGTTGACTCGACACGACACGCTCTTAAATTAACTGACTTTTTGTTCAGCTTTTTCTGCTTAGCTCCCGTTGAGATTGTGTTCTATGAAACGTATTATTAAAAAACTCTGCAGTCAGACGTGGGGGTTTCAGACCCAAAGTTAGTGTAAGAACAGATCTATCTGTGATATCGTCTTTGGCAGATTGTGGAGGGTTGATTGTTTCATGTGTGTCCATTATGTTACTATTTCTGGCTATAAACCATCTCGTTCCTTCTCTTGGTACCTCCCAATCCTTACTCTTCCCTTGAATAACGGAAGAGTCTACTAAACAAACCCAATATTAATATCTAAGAGATATCCAGATATCCCTATCCAGAGAGTAAGTTGTGTAACTTACTTAGGAGTTAAAGTCGACGAGCATTTCTCATGGAAAGAACATATAGATTTCTTGTGCAATAAACTTAAAACTGTACTGAGTAAATTTTATCACGTAAGTTATCGAGTTCCTACTAGTACCCTAAAAATATTATATTCATGTATGGTGGAATCAATAATTGATTACGCTCTTGATTGCTATGGACTTACATTCAAATCTCACATAGAAAAATTAGAAAATATACAAATTAGGTTCTTAAAACTATTAGTGAATAAAAAAACTAAAAATAAACATAAAACAGACTATTATAAACTATACAAAATTTGCAAAGTATTACCGGTCAGCATAAAACATAAGTCTCTCAAAATACAGTTTTGTTGGACATTTTATACTTTTTATAATGTAAAATGTACCTTTTAAGCAATAATAAATAAATAAATAAAAAAAAAATACCCTATGTCAATCAAAAATCTTTAGCTTGATTTGCCTTTTTGATAGGGACTCCATACAAACAATCCAGGTCCAGATCTTAATACATAGATTTTTTAGGCGTAAGGTACACTTGCTGGAGCTTTTTTTGCAGAGGAAAATCATTGAATGACTTCTCCCGCCCAGGGTGAGGCAAGAGGGAGTGTCAGACTGTTACTGTGTAAAAATCACCCGTTCCTTCTCTTTCTTTAGGCCGAGGCCGCGGTGCCTCATTGCGCTTGCCTCGCCAACCCAGCTGCATCAGCCCTGTAGGGCACCGGCTGTGGTAGTCTATTGGCTCATTAGCCGCGACTGGCGTCTCCCGGACTTGGAGAAGGAAGGGGTCGGTTTTTTACTCAATAAGAGTTTTGCACTCCCTTATTCCGTCCAGGGCAGGAAAAGTTACTCGCTTATTTTCTCATATGTAAATGTGGGAGAGCCAAGCTTCGGCATGAATGGGTCGGCTCGACCGGAATGTTACCACGGCCTCACAGAAAACGGCGTCAAACAATCACAGCGCTGTATTTCGCCGTGTGAAGTTACCGGAGGCCCAAACCCTTCCCCTCCCCATCCTTTCCCAATCCTTGAACATCCGAAACCCTTATCCCTAAAACGCCAGCGCACTCTTAACTCCTTTAGTGTTGCGGGTGTCCATGGACGGCGCTGATAGCTTACCACTTGGTAATCCGTCTGCTCGTTTGCTGACGCATATCATAAAGAAAAACATCACACTAACATTGTCTTGGTATATTTGTAAAAACCAATGGGAAAGGTTTGGTAGCCTTCATTCCCGTCGACTCGCCGTTAAAATAACAAATATCGTCCCCTCAAAGACAGCCTGACTTTCTAAAAGTTTCTTCGGAATGTCATCACGAATTTATAATAAGCTTCCTAAACGAATTAGGAAAATTGAAAGAGTGTCTTGTTTTAAGAAAGAATTACATGCCTTCCTGGTGAATAGACCATATTACATACTACATCAATTATTGTCCGACAGATGCATGAACAGCTAGATTCAAATTGCCATTTTATGTTTTGATGCAAAATACAAATGATATATTTAATACTTTTTTAAAAATTTATGTTATAGATAATTTTTATTTTATTTAGTTAATTGATAATATAATTTTATTGATTCAGCAATTTAATAACAATTCTTAATATAATTTTGTCACAATTATTATTGTATGCCTAAAATGGTGGAGCAGTGCAAGAGCACAACAACCTGTAGAAGAACTCCTTTAACCACTGTCTTACAGTAAAGATCTTTGACTTTGACTTTGATTTGATCAACAATCATACAGTTGAATCCAGTTATTATCTGGCGAGTCTTTCACGTGAAACAGTGTGTCTAGGTATGGAAAACATTTCCGTCCATTGTATAAGAAATCAATATCAGTTGATCAACTTCTGTTAAATAGAGAAAAGAATTCCATAGGGCGCTCGTTCTTGTAGGACCCTTTACCTGTATG